GACCATCTTAAAGGTCATTGAGACACCTCAACTGTTCCAAGCTACTGAAGTTGTGGACTTGCAGGCCGGGGATGCGATGCTGCAGGTAACACCTGACCATGAGGTCTTGGTCCCTGGCGATGTGGGTGGTGCAGAGAAATACGTGGCTGCAGGCAGCCTCGAGATGGGTGACTTCATCATGCTGGATTCGGGGGAGCCGATGGCTCTCACAAGTGTGACGATCCAGCCCAAGCTTTGCGACGTGCTGAAGGTCGTCTTCCAGCCGGACCTTCCCGTGGCCGTCTTCTCATGTCCGCCTCGCATCCTAAGCAAAGGCCAGCGGAGCAAGCCGAAGACACGCCGCTCCAGGATGTGCTTTAGAGGTCAGCCGGCCGCAGATCAGACTGCAGACGGAGGAGTCTCCGTCCCGATGACGGCCGGCGACTACATGGACTGAGCGCCTTCGAGTGCCCTTTAATTCACAGACTTCGGCGAATCAGCCTTGGGGATCAGCGCACGGTGTTCCAGTGCATGTCGCCTTGCGCCTGTCGCCGGAGATGCTGAAATGCAGCGCACGTGGTCCCGGTGTGGATAGTCCAGATGCCAATGAACGGGTAGCTTGCAATGAGTCTGGAGGGGATGCGCAGTGCCTGCACGACAGCTGCCTAACCCTATGCTTCCAAGGACTGTATAGTTAGGGCCCCAGACGCCCTAAGGACCCAATAATGCTGTCCTGGAAGCATGGAGCAAGTTATTGGACGCGGCTAGCTCACGCTTTTGCATCTTGCGCAGACGCTCGCAAGAGGAACCTCCGAGAGCCTTCGCCTCAGGAAATTCGATGCTTGCTTGCTTGCTAAGTCAGTACAGTACAGTATAGCTCTTGTTATGAAGAAAAGAGCTGCCAGGAGGCAGTGATCCAGAACTGGCACGACTCGAAGCTCATGCAGCAGATCGTGAATGCAGGCGCTTTCATGATGAATTTGTTCATAGTCTTTACAGGTCGAGTGCGGGAGGTGTTGGCGTATGACAGAAATTTTACAGTATCCATTGGTCTCTCACAATCATCTCGGAGCATCAGCCGTCCATCATCAGGTCAACATGTGTGCACCCAGGTCGGAGGTGACAGAGCACCCGACTTAGATGTGCCGATAAGAATCGTGGCAGATAGCTGCGAAGAAGCAGACCCAGGCTTCTCAAACATGATGTGGCAGACAGGACTTTGTTGCATAACCTTTGACAGGATACCGGGCGCTGCTGTCGAATGGATCCTCGGATGCAGCCCAACAGTCAACTCACTGACTATGCGAAGCTTCAGCTTTGTATATGGATCACGGTCTTGGGGAATTTGAGCATTTAGTCCGTACCGGCGTCGTATCTGGTAGCACCTCAAGACTTCTGTACAGAAGTGATCTTTTCTAAGGATGGTATCTTGACCATCTCACCACGACGTGGCAAAGCATGTATGCCTCGCTGCTGCAAGTAGTAGCAGGCTCTCTTGTTTCATGCCACCGCCTGAACGAAGCACGAGCTGCGTCTTGTTAGTTTGTTGTCAGCAACTTCGAGCCTTTTCGGCGGGTGCGCAATGCTCCTTACATTGCCTTATGCTTTGCAGATGCAGGTATCGTCCCAGATGTACCATGGCATGAATAGTTCTGCCCGTCCTAGCGATCAGTGAGGCTATGGACCCCCAGTTCAACATCAGCAGCGACAAGGCCCACCTTGTTCTGGGCGGAGAAGGCTGCATGTGGGGCGAGACTGTGGCAGCTTGGCTTCTGAAGTTCTAAAGGTGCTGCCGGCTTTGGATAGCAGCAGAAACTGCAGACAGCCTACATAGCAAAAACATGCCTCAACACTTGAACTTAAAGACTTATAAATTGCTTCTGAGCCAGGCGTGTAGGTATCTCTACAGCGAGCTCAGTAGGAAATGTTCAATCTGTGATGATCCTTGTCATGCGAAACGATGCTATCCGGCGCTCGCAGCGCATAAAGCAACCTCGACCACAACCCTGTGCGCCTTTTTCTTGATTTATCCGAGACGGTGGTGATGGAAAGGTGAGTTGAGAAACCAACACGACCCAACAATTGCAATATGTGTGGCGACAGTGTAGTACGTTGTCACGCATTTGGGGGCGGGCTGCTGGCAAACCCTAAACCCTAAACCCCTAAACCCTAAACTCTAAACCCCTAAACCCCTAAACCCCTAAACCCTAAACCCCTAAACCCCTAAACCCTAAACCCCTAAACCCTACTGAGGATCCCTCAGACATGGAGTCCACAGTTTGGCCCAGAGCGGCTGCGATCGCCGAGCGGCTGTGGAGTGCACCAGGTGAGACTCCTCCGAACATAGGGCCATAATAATTACTAGTAACTAGTATAGGGTTCCTTTAAGGGGCCTATAAGCGTTGCTATAAGGGACCTATAAAGGGGCTATAATTTTGGGGGCCTATAAGTGATGCTCCTTATTATAATCAGCTCCTCCTAAATGAAGGGTCTTATGAATATTAAGTACCTATAGCTGCTATTCTGGGGGCTCCTTATTATATATAAGGGGTCTTATGAATATTAATATTTATAACCTTTGGTTAACTATTTTGGTGGTTCCTTATTCCAATTATAGTATAATGGGCCCCCAAACCCTGGTCTAATTTTAACGCTACGCCGCCCGCCTCGGCTGTGTAGCGGCAGGGCGAGGGGGCAGTCGATGTTTTTTTATGCTAGGGCGGCCTGTCAAACCCCAACCTTTACACGGTTGTTGATACGAAGTGCGAGGAGAATGGGGGAGGGGGGGGGAGGGGGGGGGAGGGGGGAGGGGAGGGGGGGGGAGGGGGGAGGCCAATGAGGGGAAGCCGGGCAAGGGGGTGGCAAACGAACGCAAAAAACGGGTGTCATTTGGACTGCAGGGAGGAGGATTTGGTGGAGGGTACCTGAGCTAACCCCCAAGACGCCTGGGCCTGTGGCCTCGGCGGATTATTAGGCAGGGGTGAGGGTTCGGTTCTGTCCAATGTTGCCAGTTTAGGCAAGGGTCATAACGTTACAGGGAAGAAGTACCAAAGAGTCCAAGGGAAGTTCCAAGTGTGACTTCTATGCTTCGGCTCCAGGCGTGAACTCAACGGAGGCGGCGGAGCCCCGGCTTTTGGCCTTCAGGCCCACGGGGGAAGGCTTAGTCGTGCAGTTGGAGAATGAAGTGAAGGAGTTTCAGTTTCGGCTCGATGTGAAAGCTTGTAGCTTGTAGGTTCCAATGTTGTCACAAACGATTCGGCTCCGTCGATCTCTATTCATTGTTTGTTGGTGGTGGGCTTCCGCCTCGGTGCCCAAGATGTCAGGTTCGAGGTGCCTCAGGCAGCAGGAGGAAGGCTTTCCGGGGATCCGCGAATGAGGAAGTCACGGGAAGCTGGTTCCTTTCGCAAGTCCGATGCTCTTCAGACCCACTAAGCCTTGCACAACATCAACGTTGTCTGACAGGTGCATGCTCCTGGCCCGTGGTGTCCGTACCGGCGTGGTGGTCTCCCAAGACTGTTGATTCCAGACGTTTTGAGTGCGGCGAGTGCTACCACATAACTTCCTAGCTTCCATGGTATTGTCAGTACAGTGCATCTACAGTAACATGTTCCGATCCTGCCTACGAGCCGAAAAGCAGTGAAGTGGACCGAAGATCGTTGAATTTTGCAAGGCCTGTGGCCCTCACCGCTATGACTAGTGAGTCTTTGCAGCTCATACACTGCACGCCCTATCCCCACACAGACTCCCCCTCGAACCGTCACGCCGAAACCTCACCAAAGCCGTGGCTCAGGTGGGAGGTCCGGGGCGCGGCGCGCCCCCAGGGCCCGGATCCTGCTCCCAGCTTGGCAAGGAGAGGGACAAGCAAAAGCGCGGCCTTTGGGGTCCAGCGAAGTTGCTGATAGCATCTGCCTTTCAATCTCGGAACTTCTCCGTGGAGGAAGATGCAAGAGGAAATGTCTCAGTCATTGCCAGAACATCGTAAGATAACTGAAAGCTGGTTCGAACATACTGAAACTCACATGATAGTCCTCAAGTGCCATAATAGGACATTAGACGATACTTGCCTGTGCAAATTGGAAAGCTGTCAAGATCACGGGGCATGCTGCTCTTCTGCTTCATATCATGATGGCTCAAGCTGTTGATGCAATAGCTGTTGGAGCAGAGCGCCGCAGTCGTAGCTGCAGTGCTTCGGAGGTGGCAGCATAGGCCTGCAGGCACGGCATTGAGGTTTGTCCAGGAGAAAGCTCTCTACAGACAGATGCTTCGCCGAGCCGCCTCTTTGACAGGACTTTCCTTATGAGTTTGCCGAGATGGAAGTGGATGGGCTCTTCGTTTGAGGTGCCTCTGCCAGTGACTCGTGACTGGAGGTTTCGCAATGTCAACTCATGCCACTTATCCAGGGGCTGCTGACACAAGTGCCGTCCACATCAGTGAAATCCGGAATGCCTTCCTGTGCTGATATGCATGCGAGGTCGGGCGAGGCGCTGCGTCGGTGAAGCCGTTTAGTCAAGACGCGCGGTGCTGTCCGTTTGGGACGTGCTGCGGAATTAAATAGCGTGCTGAGCCAAAAAAACGCTGCTGCTTGTTGCCATTGCAAGGATCGAAAGAAGGACTCACAATACTGTATGCCTTTACTGCATGTGATGACGAAATCTCAAGCCTCTTGTTACGATGCGATTATGTGGTTCTTCTTGCTGGTACGGACACCATTCGGCTTATATACACAAAGCCTGTCCGGCTGTAACTGTAATGCGGCGGCTGTCCTGGGTAATCTCTGGATAAAGGCCGTCTCGAGCCGAATGGCCCACACACAGCACAGTACCCGGATCCAAAGCCCTTTGCGATACATGGTACATCTAGGGGCTTGGGCGAGAACTTCATTTGATTTGTTTGACATTAGCGGTTGGTGTGTCTTGCTTTGTAACTGTAGGAGCTACATAGCGGGTTAGGTTTCTGGCAGCCGTCATAGGTGGCCAAGTCATCATGCAGCCTCAGCCTGGGATTCAATCTGCTCCTGCGAGGGAAGCCCCGAAGGCAGCCGGAGATGTGGAGGCACGCAGAGTTCGGGGAATAGCAGGGGGATAGGTGGAAAAACTATGGCCTGACTGTGCTTCAGAATCATGTTGTCCTCTTGCTGCAGTTAGCTGTAAGTACAGTTGAGATGTGAGGGTCAGGGGGACTAGCTGACAATGAGAGCCCATACGAAGCTTGGGTTTACTCAGGACGAGTTCTTCCGCCTCACCGGCATCAGGCGGAGCAGTCAGTGCACATTTTCTGTGCGGTCTTCTCTGAAGCACAATGCAGCAATGCAAGCGAAGCTTCTTCATCGCAGTCGTCGAGCAGAATGATAGGGGAAGAAAGCACTAGCGCGTGATTTCAAGTCCTACTTCTGCCTTGACCCGTGCATCCTTTTTCCCCTTCTGCCCCGACACCCTCGGGTTGCTTTGCTCGATGCAGGCCGGACCCGGTCGTCATCCCAAAGAAGGAGAAGCCGAAGGCCAGGTCCGCAGAACAGAACCCCCTTCTGCAAGCCCTCAGCTCCCAATATCCCGGTGCAAGCACCGAATTTCAGCTCAAACTCCAGATTGCAGCCATCAGAGCCCCAACGCCGGTGCGCAGGAGCCGCCTCCCGAACCGCCGAGACCTAGCTTCAAAGAGCGCAGGAGCCCCGGCACAGCGGGGCAAGCCTTGCGCTGAAACTAGCCGAGGTGAGGGGAGGGCATAGTTGCAGGAGTTACATAACGAATGCTACAGCATAAGACGGAGACTTCAGGATCGCCACCTCGCACGGACCCGGGAGTTCTAGAGATACTCTTGACTAGCGTCTTAAAGCTTGGAACATCTGCGGTTGAAAATGTCTCAGCGGCCTTTGAAGAGTTGAAGTTGAAGGCCGAGTGCACCCGAGCCACCACCTAGCCCTCCTGGCAAATTCTGCACGCTCGACTTGAAGCCTCGCTAGACATTGGGGGTTTTCACATCCGGATGCACGAGGTTCATGTTGCTTTACCCATATGGGTCCTTGCATGTCATAATTTGCATGAACCTTCCATTCTACGCCGCGCAGAAGGCTGTAATTTATCTGGGAGGTGCGAATTCCCCAAACGCGGCAAGGCGTCGTGCGCGATCTGCTGGACCGGTCCGGAACTTGGGACGGGGGCATCCGAAATTCAACCGGTACAGGGAGTTTAGAATCTGGGCTTACAGCGACTTTGTTCATGATGCCCGATGGGTTATAGCACCTCATCATGTATGTATGCGGTTGGTTCTGATGCTGTTTGATGTCGTGGATACATGGCCATTGGGTAACGATTCATCCGTACTACTCGTACTCGGCTCCTTTGACCACCGCCCCATCTCTGCACGGCTCTGGGACAGCTATTTTCACAGTGCCCGGCACAAGTTCCGATTCCAACTCCGAGCCCCTTGGCTCCGAGCCTCTCTAGGCTCAAGCTCGGTACCTTAAGCCGAGGATCTGCCACACTAAATCCGAGGAGTTCGCGAAACACAATACGAGCTTCTGAAATTGAAAGGCTGACGACGATAACCGCTGAAGTGCAGTAAACGGCATCACTTGAACCCACTGAGCATATGGTACTCACAGAAACTGATTCTTATGAGAGAGAAAGAAAGAACGAACGAGCGAGAGATCTCGAGAGCGAAATGGACATACCGTCAGAAACCTATACATGAAGGCAGCACCCCAGAAGCCCCCCTGAACCCCATCTCATCCTGATTTGCGCATGGCGAAGAAGCGCCGGCGTGGCGCTGAGGCAGTTGCAGCTGAGGACGAGGCGAGTGCAAAGTGGACAACTTGGGTCTATGCTTCAGGAGTCAACGTTGAGCCAGACCTACCTAAACCACCAAAAGTTGGTGAAATAATATATAATGGCCCAAAACCTAGAAAAGGCTATAGGCTATTATTCTACATACGTTTGGGGTCCAGGTAGAACTTAAAAGCATCGAAACTATAAGGGGTGCAGGAGCAGGGCCTTCGGAGGGACTGTGCCGGCATTCCCGGAGCCTTAGCAATTCGTAGTTGCCTTCTGCCCCTGAGAACTCTGGGCCATGTTTGCAACTTTCCCGCTGCACCGTGCATCCTTCCGAATGCTTTTGTGAAATTTCTCTCTAGCTTCCGTCTATTGCCCTGATTCCGAGACCCTCCATAGACCCGAAACTTTCACCCTAAGCGGTTAAGAACCAATTCCAGCAGGCCCAGGATGTCCAACCACAGCTACGGCGCAAAGCGAATCGCAAGAAGGCAGCAAAGCCACAAAGTGCGGCCAAGGTCGCGGCTGTTTCGACAAATTACCCAGAGTTCAATTCTTGGGCAAGTAACATGTCGATGTTTGGTCCAGAGTTGAAGGTATTGTCTCCGAACAGACATACAATTGAAAGGTCATCGCTGTTGCACAGCGCTTCGCTAGCCTTACCTTTTGCCATCTCAATGGTGTTTATCATGTCCGTTGTCCTGCACAGTACAAACAGCCACGAGTATCGGGCAAGCTGCACATGACATCTGCAGATGCACAGGCTACACTGTTCTTCCAGCGCTGCTGACTGAGATGATTGTCCTAGCAAGGTACGCAACATCGTTTGTGTAGTTCTTCCGCTTGTAAGAGTGCGACTGCATATCTTTCTACGGAGCAGCAAACATGTGTGCACATATTAGCTGGTCGCACACGCACACACAGAGACACAGACACGGACACACACACACACAGACACACACACACACATTCAACTCAACTCAGTCAACTCACAGCTCACTCACTCACTCGCACACGCACTCAAAAACTCTCACACGCACGAAGCAGAAACGCTGCGGAAGATGTTTGCCTGGCATTCGCAACCGTATGAGCCTTTCAGGAGCCCACTCGCCAAGCCAAGCGGAAGAAGGCGGCCAAAGTGCAACCCGCAGCCAAGGCCCGTTTGGCACCTGGTAAGGAGAGTTCTGGTGATTCCGGCTTTAGGTTGAACTTAATTCGTCCCAGTAGTGCCGAAACCTGGCGCGTTTGACGCCATTGCCTGCCTTGAGCAAATGTAGCGCGCGTGAACCGGAAGGTTTCCCAAAGCAACCTTCTGACTTTTCACGCCTGCCTTCCCTTTAGATTAACCTCATGCCGCATGCCTTATAGACATGAGCTCCAAAACCCTGAAACTTCGGCTCCCAATCCAGCCACCGTCCAGAGGCTACTGAGTTCTCAGCGGAGGCTCAGGCCGTGATGGAGGAGCTGACAGACCCTGCCTCGAAAGGTGAGGATGTCGCAGAGTTTCTTTGTCGGGTGTGGGCTGAAAAGGGTTTTGGGATGGTCAGTGTCCTTGCGCTGATGCAATATTCAGCGACTTCATAGACACGCATCCTTCTCTCTCTCTCTCTCTCTCTCTCTCTCTCTCTCTCTCTCTCTCTCTCTCTCTCTCTCTCTCTCTCTCTCTCTCTCTCTCTCTCTCTCTCTCTCTCTCTCTCTCTCTCTCTCTCTCTCTCTCTCTCTCTCTCTCTCTCTCTCTAAAGATAAATGCATATGTATATGAACCGCAGTATGCGTTTCTTAAATTAGTGTTAGTGAATATATGTCGCTGAGCTCTTATCGGCTGCTCCAGCAGGCACGCTCTCCGACCGCTTGAACCCTACGCATCCTCGCTACGACAAGCAGCTGAAAGCGAGATGGAAGTCTTTCTCCAAGAAGGAGCCGTGGGCAAGCCTCCTAGTGCAGCAAGCACATTTAAGTATTCATTGTTTTATTTTTTCGTGGTACCGGTATGCTGTTGGGTTCAGCCGCTGTTGTTAGTCTGGCAGGAAACCCACGACAGCTGTGATATCTTCGGCAGCGTCATAACCATGGCTTGCCCTGTGAGGAGAGGGCTGCCATTGTCGAATGTGACAAGAACAAGATGAAGGCTGGGTGTGAGGTGAGATCACGATCAAGCAGTCCTCCCCTCGCCAAGATAGACAGGACTATGCTTGTCGCATGGGTCCTAGACGTTGGAATCTGGGCAGAAACCTTGTGGCTTCTCCATCCACAACAAGCCTCAACTGTTTGCAGGCAACAGTCAGCGCGGCTGTTTCCATTCAGCATCCCTTTGCCACGAACGAGGATGATCCTTGCACAGGTTCTGGCCAAATCAATTCTATATAGACTGTTCGAATCGACGACTGTTTTTACATTGAGGGTGGGGGCCAAGTGACAAGTCGCCCGCAGACAGGCAAGTTGAGTCGAACAGAGGGCCCTCGGATTCAAGTGTTCAGGAGTAGACTCCAGGGCTCCGCCAACTCAGGATCATTGTGAAACTGCCTTGGAAGCCTACCGCGACGTGCTGCCGATCTTGCAGCACATAGCTTCTGAGCTTCAGTTACACTTGTTGTCGCCAGTGCTTCTCCAGTCCTCAGACCTCTCTTAACCTTGTCCGCTGGCCCTACAGGCTTCGAAACTCTTCCTGTCAATCACCACCTGCATGTGTCCGGCATGCTCCGAGATCCATGGCTTCTTGCCGCATGACCGTATCATTCTCTTCCTCCACTGTGCTCTGTTTCGGCTCAACAGGGAAACCGCGGAGAACTGCATCTGGGTAGCTGGCCTTAGCCTTCGCCCAGCAATGGCAGACTATGAGAAGATCGCCATGGCGGCGATGGAAGAATTAGATGGCCACATGTGCTGGCCCGTGGAGTGGTTCAAAGAGGATCTGCGACTGAGCTGCATTGACTGGCCTTAAAAGGGCCGCTCTGAAGAGCCGTCGAGGCCGCGTAGACCCCTGTTCAACCAAGGCCAGTGGAAACCAAAGATGGCTCGGCCATGGATGTCGCAGCTCTTTAGCTTGTTCTTCACAGGTGGCTGTGGTTGTTCCTCTCAGTGGAGTCTTGCCGGTGTGCTGTCGCTTTGACGGGGTCACAGTTTGGGTATTGCGCGTGAGGTTGAAAAAATCATCAACCAGTCCAACAAGATTCCGAAGCTGATGGACCCGTATGTGAAGGGGCAAGTGCAGGACTCCCCTGGCAGGTAAGTTGCATGCCACAAGGCTGGAGGCTGCCGGCCACTTAGGGAGAAATGTAGGGGCCTTAATAAGTAGAACAGGGTTTCGGAGCCCATTCTACTATATTTATGAAAAGGAACCCTTAGAGATGCAGGAGCCCCTGGAGATCCCGAAGCCGGACACGCCAGCCAAGCTGAACATCCTCGCCTTTGCCGACCACTCCGGCTACTGCAAGAACTTCTTTGCAAATGCACCCGAGGGACGGATAAGCACGAAGAAGGCAGGCATTTGCCTCAAACTTGGTTTCTCTTTGTGACTTTGTGGCGCAGCCTTGCATTGCTACTCGGAGCCTGTTGGCGGTCTGTGTGAAAGCTTGCCAGGTGGTGGAGAACTACCACTCCCTCACCCAGGAGGATGTCAAGAAGCTCGTCAACGAGCCCAAGAAGGGCTGGGACATGGTGGTCTTCACGGTCGGGTGCGACCCGCCCAGGAGCAACAGTGTCCCAGACGTCATCGAACAGAGCCTTGAGCCGATCTGGTAGGGTCTTAGGGTTTTGGGTTAGGGGTTTAGGGTTTTTAGTTCTGGGAGTTTTAGGGGTTCAAGGGGTTATGTAGCGGGATTGATTAGCATCTTAAGAATTTGTAGATGTTTTCGGGCAGATCATGCAGGGTAATTAGCATGCAGGGTTTAGGCGTGATGTCCTCTCAGTCGAGGAACACCGTGATCTCCAGACTCTACTTCTGGCTATCCTATGAGCTGCAGAGGGCTGAGACCCAAACGAAGATCTTTTGTCTCGTGCGCGGGCTCTTCCACGAAGACAAGAAGACCCACATGAAGGCCAGAGCCTGGCCCCTTAGGCTCTTTGCAAGCCTCTGCAGATGGTCTCTACAGATCATATTACTACTAGTGTTATGGTCATTAATGCAAGAGTAACAAGACTAATCCTGCTAATATATCAATAAGACTACTAATTTAAGCATGCCCTTGGGCTTTCGCAGTCGCGACATCACGGGTAGTTCTCTAAATGAGGGGCCGCTTTGTAGAGCCTTGTGAGCGCACGTCACCCCGACGAGTTACTTCCGTCAATGGCTAGCAGTGGCTAGCTAGCAACAATTATACCGCTATACCCTTACAAAAATTTTATAATTTCGTATCACCTCATCATAGCC